TGTATGTATTTATTTATTTATTTATTTATTTATTTATTTATTTGATTTATATCCCGCCAATCTGGTCTGGTCGACCACTCTGGGCGGCTAGACCTTAGATCTCCAAATGTTCTTTGACTAAAACTCCCAGAAATCCTGGCCAGCACAGCTAGTGGCGTTTGGTTGAGAACCACTGCCTTAAGAAAATCCACAGAATTCATTGACTATTGTGTGCTCTTATGTGAGGAGGAGACAGAGAAAATGCTGTCCCCTCAAACAGCTAGCATAGATTAGACCATAACACAAATGTGGGACGTAGTGACAGAACAAGAGAGAAAGCCAAAGACAGAAGCACGAGCAGAAAAGACAGAAGAATACCGCGCAATGGAGGTAGTGAGGGCTGGAGACAAAGGAACTCACGAAAGGGAAAAGCAGTTAGGGCAGTTAGAAACAGCTGAGGCAGGAGACAAGAAGGAGGGAAAACACGACAGAGAGAAAGTAGATGTGTTCCTGATCACGGAGGAGGGAACAGAGCCTAAAGAGATGGAGAAAATAACTGTATTCAGAGAAACAGTAACAGATAAAACCGACAGAGGTGTACAAGTATTTGCCGTGCCTGTGAAAAGACCAGCTGCTAGTGCGATTGATGAGGAGGCAGAAAGTTCAGCAAGCGGTAAAGTAAGACCCATTATACCTGGTCTTAGTCCAGAAGAATGGACGGTATTGGTGTACCCCAAGAATCGAGGTCCCGCCCAGTTGGTACAACAATTGGATCCTACTCTGGAGAAAGAGGCAATGAGAGAGGGAGAGTGGGCCCATCACCCATGTTGCAGGACCTTGTGTGCGGTCCGCAACAGTTTCCTGAGGCAACTGACCGAGGAAGAGATAAAGGCAAAAACTTACTACTAAACGATTTAATTAATGAAAAGTCATTGTTATGGTTTTGGGAGAGTCCCCCTCCCCAGTTGACAATATAAAGTTCTGTTGAGTTTAATAAGGATGACACAACAATTGTATTAATAAAAATTCATTTATTAATAATTCTGAATCATTTGTATTGCCTGAGGCATGCCCATTGCTAATGCAGAATCCACTTAAATCTTAGTTGCTCTTCTCTTGAGTTTATCTTATTCTATTTTTTAATTTTTTTTAATTGAGTTTATACCCCACCCATCTAGTCAATTGACTACTATGGGCTAAAAACGTCTAATATAAAACAATTTGAAATATAAGAACAATATAACGTTGAGGGCCATCTTAGTATTTTTCCCTTTTTCATCTTTCTAAGTAACTCCTCTAATTTGTCTTTCCCCAATTCTTGTTTCTATCTCTCTAAACATTCTGCCATGCCTTGTGTCATCTG